ATAATAATAATAATAAAAAGTTGCCAATTACCATAATGATTAGTATGTATGGAAGTCTGATTAGTTATACCTACTTGATTGTTAGTTAAAAGGAATTCAAATCCCCAAGCTCAAAAGTTACTCTAAGATGGAATCAGGCATTCATGAGTGTTCCAATTTGTTCTTTTTTGTTGCTTTCTTTGATTCCAATAAATTGGTAGAAGGGAGATGCATCCCAATATTATGGGAGAGGACGCCAATGACATGTTGGAACAGTAAATAGAGGTTCACCAAGAGGATTACCACACAGGTATAAACTGCAAGAAATTTTATTTGCAGTGCAACTATTCAACTAGTTTCTAAGGATAGAGTCTCCCTGAGGAGGGTTACTCCTACTCACCAACGGGGAAAGTGGTGCCAAGGGTACTTGAACCCACCCATGGAGAAGGTTGGAGTTTGTTCTAGATCTTTAACTACTTATCCAATCTACTTTAAGACTTAGTAGATTTTATTGATTATAGTAGGTGAGAAAAAGGGTTTTTAGATTTCCAATATCAGTTCCCAAAAGCATTAGAAAACATAGCATTTTTTCTTGTTTTCTTCAATGTGTCAATGATTGCTTCTTTCAAGAAACCATCTAAATTTTAAATAATAATTTTGGACCTAACCTTGCGCTAAGAGACTAGATACAGAGTAGCATTATTTTCTGGAAAAGGTTCATGATAAGGGATGACCCTAAGTGCTGGAGTTCTAACTACAAAAGTTACTTGAACATTTTGTTCATGTTGTTTTCTTTGAGTCAAGTTTTATGGCATCCCTTGTTTGGGGTCCAGAATAGCTTTCTGAAACTTAAAAGAATGTTTTGTTTTTTGTTTTGGTTCTTTTGTCGGTTTTAAATAATTGTACTTTCTTATTCCTATCTCTCTCAGATTTTGTATTCTATTCCTTTTATGGATATACCATGTTCTGGGACTACTGCAATTGCGGCTGTTTTGTCTATATTACCTGCAATAAAGATCATGATTAAACTGGACCATAACATACATATTGGTATATACTAAATAAAATTGAGCATCCGGTGTGCTTCCAAAAAATTTCACCAGCATAGACCATTGTTAAATCTTTAGTACGTGTTAACTTTTTACCTTTTGTTGTGAGTTTTATAGCCCTTTTATTTCACTTCATTGATGACTATTATATTTGAAGTTCTATGTCTGGTGCAGAATCAAAGTGAACTTACTGTGTATCTTTTTGATTGAAGTTTCCAGTAAAAAAAAGGGATGTCAAGTGGAGGAACATACTGGTGTTACACATGCAGGCAGCCAATCAGGATTGCTGGGAGGGATGCCATTTGCCCTTACTGCAATGAAGGCTTCTTGCAAGAACTTGATGACGTGCAAGGGGCAGTGGGGCAAAGAGGTTCTGAACCAAGAAATGGGTTCAGAGATGCTGTTGATAACTTCATGAGGCAGATAATGGGTGGAAGATACATAAACTTTGGCATTCGAATTGGGAGGTCTGGTTCTACCCAACTTCCTCAACGGACTTGGAGTGTGTTTATATTTCCTAGTCAAGAGTCTAGTGCTGATCTGGAAGAATTCTCTTATCAACACGTTACACATTACCAGTTTGGTGCGTCACAATCTTCAATTAATGCAGTGCCAACTATTAAGATCACGCGTGAACAGCTCAATTTTGATTCACTGTGTCCAGTTTGTATAGAAAGATTTGAAGTGGGTTCTGAGGCCAGGAAGATGCCATGTGACCACATTTACCACTCAGACTGTATTGTTCTATGGTTAGTTCGCCATAACTCGTGTCCTGTTTGCCGAAGAAAGCTGCTTCCTGAAAGACATTCTAGTTCTCGTGGTAGTCAAATTTGGGGAAGAAATCATGCCAGTGGTAATAGTGACAATGCTATCTCTAGGGGCAGGGAGAATAGACAGCTCAACAATGGATGGAGGAATCTACTATCATTTTTTACTTTTTGTACCCATTCTGTTCTTCTAATTCAGATACTCAATCGTTTATGTTGAGACTGGGGATACTACTCTTCTATAACTCTTTGACCAGAACACAGGCAGGAATTAACCGAGTTTCATTTTGTCCCGTGGACAAAGGTAATTGACTGTCAAATAATGCTTGTGATCTAAACGACATGAAGTTTGTTCAGGTTGTGAGTTGAACCTAATTCCATATAGATACTAGATCCTACAAGTATATGAAAAATGTTTGTAAATACAGTATTATTATTGGAATCAATTTTCGTTTTGCGTTTTCCGTAGCTTAGAAGTTTTCACATTGGTGCAACCGTAATTTGAAAGGTCCTTTCAGGATGGGTTTGGGACATGGCTGGTGAAGCAATCAAAGTGGAAGGAAAGCTGAGTGATAAAAGCAAAACTACGGAGCTTAGCCCAACTACATATGAATTGCCCTGAATTATACCCTGCTTTGATATTCTTGTATTTTCTTCATGATTAATATATGTGTTACAACTTAAGGAAACAAACATAACACTTGACAAAATTGTACATTCATACAATGGTAAACAGAAAAATATAGGACCATAAGGATACAGTGACCTTGAATTTACATAAAAAAATTGTGATCATCGCTGAATGGAAATGTGTTTAATTTTCATATATGTTAGGTTCCTGGGTTTGGAACCTAACAAGAAAACACTCAAAAGATAGAAACAGAAATTAAAGAATGAGTTTTGCTATTATTCACCGTAATCGAATCTCTTTACAAGGACTGTGTTTGGGAGCATAACCTCCCTCTAGAGAGCCTAACCTCCCTCCTCAGGATGACAAACCCTATTAGACTACAATCAAACAATCGACCCCTCACTACAATTGATTATTTGCTATTTATACAACCAATAACCCCGTTCTTCCTAACTGCTAAGGCAGTTAAGGCAGTTGGGCATTTAATGTTTTATTCCTTCACTTGTAAACTCTCCATCCCTGACAGACGGGGACGGTGGACGAGTATGTACAATACTTCAAGATATTGGCTGGTCGAACGAAGAGGGTACCGGATGAGCAGCTGTTGGGATATTTTCTTGTGGGATTGAAAGAGGACATCCGGAATCAAGTTCGACAGCATGAACCGCAGGAATGGATGGTGGCGATGCGGATCGCAAGGGATGTTGAGGAGTTCC